AGAGACAAGTTTTATCCTTTCTTTTCCTCCCTCTCTTTGTGAAAAACAAATTGGGTATTTGCTTATATTTAGTAGTAACATTAATGCACATAATTCAGTTCTTATGTAGAAATCATGATTTGAATATTTGTCATCAGGTACATATATTTACATACATCCACACACCTTTTAATATATAGTCTAATGATATATGGAAATCTATAAACTAGAAGGGAGTTTACATTTGTAAACCCTATCTTTAGGGCTTTTATTCTTTTTAATGATGCTAATACAATATTTTAGAAGTAAACCCCATTTAACTACAATAAATTAAATTTCTGAATAGACAGATAGAACATTGAACTCTTAATTAAATAGAGTTCCCTTTGTCTGCTTAAATCTAAAAATTCCAAGAAACTATATTCCATGTAAAATTTATTGTAAGAGAAACACAGAATTGCACTTTACCACAGAAAGAACATAAAACTTAACAATAGTAATTGTACAAAGTGTGTTATAGCTCAAAAAAAGGGAAACAAAATATAGTAGTATTTTAAAAAAGGAAAAAAAATCTCATATATACAATAAGAAATTAAATTACACTGAATCCAGGCAGGCTTATTTCCAGGAAAGGTACCATCATAATGGTTAAAATATTTGATTATCAGAGCATAATTATTCATTGGTAATGGGGAAAACATATGATAGATGTACTTTTTAAAAGGCAATTGGTCTTAATAACTACATGCAAATTATTGTTTTGCTTTCTTTCAGAATAAAGGAAATATTAATTGAGGAGTAATCAATAGACTCAAAGTTACTTTGCTATCACTAACTTCCACTGATTAGTTCAGCTTCTGGTTCACAAAAGAAGAGGAAGCGGAAAAAGAAAGCGAAAACTGGCTATTCGAAATTAAATGTTATTATTTGTTTCTATTGTTTTGCTCATTAATGATGGGGGATAGCTAGCAAATAAGCTGGTGCCCGATGGAAAGGTTCATTGTGCCTATTGACAGCAAAAATGCTCCATTACTTTGCAAAATGCCCAGATAAAATGCCCATTTTCTCCCATTAAAATCATTATGAAATTCCAGTTAATTAAAAAAAAAAGCATGTCAATACATCCACCTCTATTTTGAAGATAATAAATGCAAAGAAACTGTTGCCTTTTGTTTGTTTTCAGGGCTTGTTGTTTCATAATAAGGATGCATTTTAATTGCATTATTAATTGAAGGCAAAGCAACATATTTTCCTTTTTATCTGATCTGGTAACACTAGATTAGACAAGTGGATTAAAAACAACTTGCAAGAGAGTTTCCTACGTACAGCTATCATGCTGGTTTTGTATCATTAAAATGGCTCCTAAACAAGCAGATTAGCTGATTAGTTGATGATTAAGACTGCAGGAAGATCAGTCATTACATGGAGAAACTCCTTGCATGCACACACAGAGCTAACTAATTGACAGCTACACATGAATTGGAACAACCAGTCTCCAAAAGCATTATTGTAAAAGTAGATAAAATACTTGCCGCAGCCTCCCTATTTCCCCCATCCCTCAATCCCCCACTCCCTCCTCAACATGTTTTTTAGACACAAGCCTTAACTGTTTCTTTAAGTTCAAGTTGGGCTGTCTAGAATCTGCATGGATACACATGTGTGCATGTGGGTGGGTGGAAGGAGATACTTCCAAGCAGTATGACTACATATAAAAGTCAGCATCTGAACATAAAGATAACCTTGTTGCTTCTTCTGTAAAGTTCATAGAATATACCCTGTCATAAATTGAGCTTTCATACCAAATGTCTGCTCTTTGAAAGGACTTGGAGAAAAGTTCCTTGGTTGTATTGATCTGGTGACTGAGGGTTTGCGGCTATCGTTTTTTTATGTCCTGCTAGATCTGCCTGAACAGTCCTGAAGCCATTGCTTATTATCCAGAGGCAAACACCAATTTGTCTGCTGTAAAACTGATACAAATCCCACTCTTATTCCAATACAGCTCTATTGTCATATAATCGCTTTGGTGGAGGGTGGAGAAGGGGGAGGAGTGACGACCGTCCACATAAGATTACACAGCAGTCACTTTTTGACATGAAAGATCATACAATAAGTTGTCCTACTGCACTGCCTATGAAGCAGGAATGGTTCACTAATATATATGAGTATCAAAACTTCCTATTAGGCTTTGTGCAACTCAGCAATGGAGATTGTAACAGTTCTTATTTCGCAGTTACCAAAAAGAGTAAAGAAAAGTCTCCAGAATAAATCCATTTCAAGGAACTTTTCAACAGAATTTAAAAACAAACAAACAAAAAAATACCTGCCTTGCAAAGAAAACTGAGAACTTTTCTGGAAGTTCACATCCCACATAGTTTTGAAAATAATGTTATGTGCAGAGTTATAGCAATAACAAAGGGATTCCTAATCTGAATAACCTGTAATGATGCTTCCTACTTAGAGTAAGAATTCCCGTGTGCATTTGTCAATGAGAAATTATACAAAAGTGTTTTTAACAGGCTGTGTGATTTGGTACAAAGCAGTGACAACATTTCCTGGCAAGTTCAACTGACTAGAAAAGATTTATCAGAAGTCAGAAATCTTCTATCTAAACCTTGCCCTCCCCATCTGGAAAGCAATTTAAGGATGATTTCTGATTTTATTAAAACAATAGAAAATGAAATCTCAGTTATTAACATTCAACACAATAAAATTTTACTCTAAAAACATAATGGGGGAGAGAGTAGATGCATCTTTATCTTAAGAAGCGCAAAATCACAACAGTAAGAAGAGAATGTACTGGTTGTTTTTTTAAGAGAAAAAAATCCTATCTACTACAGCTTTCCCTGCACTTGGATACATTTTTTTTAAGTCAAGGAAAGGAGGAACATTTTAAGGCAGCTTTCCCAACTTTTTTCCACAATATATTGTGACAAGTGGTTGTTTGATAGATGTTCTCCTTGATAAATGACTTGTTCAAAAGAGACACAGTAGCTTTCATTTCCTGACCAAAACACACTTTTAATTTGCACCAGCAGAATTGCTGGAATGTGACTGGCTCCCGATTCTGGATGTTTTGCCTCTGGCAGGCCCCCATCCTCCACAAAACAAAAATAATCATGAGGCACATCTGCAGACAACGATCCGCTGCCACGCATTTGGTTGAGTTGTTATAATCGAGATGTAGAAGTGATTACATTTGTTAGCTCTCATGGACTCTCTTCTACCCCCCCCCCCCCAGGACGGGTGCAATTTCTCAACCACTCTGCAAGTTAAGATATTCTATTAGGAAACTGAGAAGCAGGGAAGTGGATGGGGTGAAAAGCACACATATGGGGGAGGCGAAGTACACATGTGCCATACACTATACAAAACTGCAGCACCCAGGCATGATTAGAACCTATTACTACTGTTAGAATCATCTTCCTCATCCTCCTTCTTCGGGAACTGCATTTAAACAGTGGCAACGATTCACCCCATCCAATTTCAGTTCTCAGCGTACTATCCAATTCCCGATTTAAAATTTATAAATGTAATACCCTCATCACAAGCAGCAGGTCCAATCTGCTGTGAATATATATTACAGCTTTAACATCACAGAGGGAAATCTCCCATCTGGCAATCACATTCTCTCCAACAGCTCTAGGAAAAGGGGGGGGGAAGAGAGAGAGAGAGAGAGAGAGAGAGAGAGAGAGAGAGAGAGAGAGAGAGAGAGAGAGAGAGAGAGAGAGAGAGAGAGAGAGAGAGAGAGCTGTGCCTTTCTGCTCTCCCCTCTTTCATTCCCTTCCCATTGAAAATGAGTCAGGGTTGATTATTTGCATCTAAAATAAACCCTGCTGTATTGATCATCTGAAAGGCAACAAGTTCCAAATGATAGATAGATAGATAGATAGATAGATAGATAGATAGATAGATAGATAGATAGATAGATAGATAGATAGATAGATAGATAATTTCCACTATGATAGCAATTCTGTTTTACTCTATTGGAAATATACAGAAACCTTTAGCATTAGCTTATGGGCACGGCCTACTGGGCAACTACTTCTGAACTGAATGCAGAGCTCAGGGTTGTGCTGTTATGAAAAATCAATGGCCAACTCAGTCCATGCTCCAGCATCAGCCCAACGGATACCCATGAGTTTCTACCCTAGTCCTTATTTGTTTCTAATTTGGCCTATTAAAAAGCAGATATATTCTTGGCCTTTCCCCCATGGCACAAATTCCCCAAACGTATATTCAAAATCCTGGGCTTCTACCAATGGCCTTGTGTGCATTGCACTGGGCAGGTATATTCAAATTATCCTTGTTTCATCAGGCATGCCTAACATGACTCTTTTTTTTAAAAAAATAGAATATCTCCTCTTAGAATAATTATTCAAGTCTCCTGTAACATCTGATGGTTTTCCATTGCACAGCACAGCAATGACAAGCCGCCAGATGGAAAACAGGATAGAAAATATACAGGCCGTTATTAAACTGGAAGACTGGGGGGGGGGGGATGTTTGCAGGAAACAGAGGCATTTATTAGAAGATCCCTAGAAAGGATTTTATTATCCTCATCTAAAACCCAGTGGAAAAAATAGAAAAGGGGGAGACCTCAATTGAAAAAATAGTAACTACACTTGAAAAATAAACAGGAAACCGTAGTGGTATAGGAAGGCTTTTAACTGTGTGCGTTGTCTCTCCCCCCTCCTCCTTTTACAGTGAGCAAGTTGACTAATTTACATCCTATTTGAGTGTTCATGGTGACCTGCTAGTAAGATGCAACTTTAGCTTTATGACAGAACAAAAGTCTGTTCAAAGCAGAAAATTAGAAATAATACAATAAGACAGTGCACACCCACATATCCACATCTTATTTATACACCTAAAGCTTTATCATTAGCCTTGTTACAGTGATCTTCAGCGGCATGCAAAGTCCTCTGAAATGTTCATCATGCTCTTTTAAAAACAAAAGGAACACTGTCCATAGTACAACAACAACAACAACAAAAGTAAACAAGATTCTAAAACAGACCTACCATAAACACTGGTGCTACTGATCATTTCTTGCTGGCAGCACAAAAAAGCTGAATTGGAATTTTTTCCCCCTCTCCTTCTTCTCACAAGCAGGAATTCCAAAGGTTGCTTTTCATGAATGCCACTTTTCCTCTCCAGTATCAAATGTCACTGCCTTGAAACGTGGGCCTTTTCGTCAGGTATTCATTTAACCTACATGCATATAATTAAGAGGGAAAGCAACATCAACAAAAAGGGAATCTCAGATCAGAGAAGAAAGAAAGGGGGGGAGAGACTGAGAGAGAGAGAGAGAGAGAGAGAGAGAGAGAGAGAGAGAGAGAGAGAAAGAGAGAGAGCACATGACCAGCAATACAAGTCCATGTCAATTTCACTCACTCCCATTGAAACTAACAAGAGCTCCAGGGAAGATAGTAATAGGATCAGTGGGTTGTATATACCAGTAAATTATACATCTTCCTTTCAGTTTCAAGCCAACAATACGCCCACCGTGCCATGCCCCCCCCCCATGATGAGATGCTTAATTTTTTCTGCATCAGCTTCTCAGATATATTAACACACCCCTCACCCTTAACTTTCCCCATCCTTATTTGCACGGATTTGCTTAAAAGTTAGTTCCTCCAATTGCACTTAAGCCGCCAGACGTAACTGCTTCGCTTAGAACTTGAAAAATAGACCTCCCTTAGTGAAAGTGGCTTAATAAAGGGGAGCGCAATCAATCTCTCAATCCCGAATTCTTACTCTCCGCACTATTGTTAGCAACGATCAGGGAAAAAAGAAAAGCCATCGCTGCGATTGTATCGCTTTACTTTCCACATCGCGCTTTAAAACAAGGGGGGGAAGAGAACTCGGGGGAGGGGGGAGGCGAGAGAATAAACCCAGACTTGGCGATTTCCGATGTATCTAAGCACACATTTCATTATAAAGCTCGGGGATTTTACAGTGGACGCGCGCCCGCTCGGGATAAAAATTGTATAAAATTGTATAAAAAAATTAAAGAGAACAGGCGGAGGAAAAGAAGGAGGGAGAGAAAGAGAAACGAGTCACAGATGAGCTTACCTGGAGGGTCGGGCACAATCGATTCTTTCGGCGCGCTGATGAATTGGGGCTCGGGTTAAGCGAAGGTGCCTCCGATTTGAAATCATTCCAAGTTTTTGAAGGGAAGACTGACTGCAGCCTCTGCCATGTTGGAATTTCAAACCCAAAACAGCTGCTTTGCAAAGAGCCACCATGCCAGCAGCTGAACGCCTGCGCAGAGCGCCGCCGAGCCAAATTCAAATCACTTTCACACTAAGAGCCAAAGATCAGTTTGCAAAAAAAAAAAAAAAAAGGAGGGGGGGGTTGGAAGAAAAAAAAAAGAAAGACAAGAGAGGGACGCACCAGATTCAGGAGCTAAGAGGCTCTCAATGGCCGCGCTGCCGCTGTTGCCTCCGCCGCCACCGCCGCCGCACAAGGCCCCTGGCTGCACAGGTCAGGTTACATGGTAGGGGCTGTCGCTTGCAAGAAAACATGCAAACACCGCCTGGAGGTGGCCGGGAGGTCATGGTAGAGCAGCCAGGAAGCTCGCCCGCCCCTTCTGCGGCTCCAGGAGGGCAACGGGGAACTGAGGAAGTCGGGATCCCCGCTCCCAGCTTCGCCTCCGGCTCCTGCAGCAACAGAGAGACTTCTCGGAGCTCTGGCAGCTTCCCTGCTGCCGGGGAAGCTCCATATCCCCAGTCCCATCCCCCCCTCCCGCGCCAGAGAAGCACAAGCGGCGGCGGCGGCGAGCGAGCGAGGTAGCGAGCGCCTCTGGCTTCCCCTCCCCCTTTGCAAGAAGCGGGAGCGGCAGCAGCGGCGCCTTCGCTCCAGCCCCTACCGCGTCTCGGAGGTACGGACGGCTCCGCGCATCCCGCGCTCTCTCCTTGACTCACTTCAAGAGACTTTGGGAGGCCGGGATGAGCTGTATTAACCGGGACGGCAAAGAAAAAAGAGCGCGAGCGCGAACTTGAGAGAGGGAGAAGGAGAGAGGCTCGCGGGCAGCCCGAGCTCGGGAGTCGCCCGCCGGTGTGCGCGGGAGGAAAGTCACACGGTCTCCACTCCTTCCAGAGAAGGGGGGGGGTCGTCTTTCGGCCCAGGTAAGGGAACGTGTGGAGAAGGGGATGGCAGCCTGGACGTGGGCTAGCGAGCAGCAGGGAGAACGAGGCGAAGTGTGAATAAATGTATTCGAGTTGCTTGCTTTTTTCGGCTACGTTTCATTTCCGCGCGCCATATATATGAATTTTTTCTCTCTCTCGTCGCGCCGCTCGTTTTCTGGACACGGATTGACTTTTAACGGCACCATCCTGAACGCATCCCTCCCCCCCTTTGTATCTTTTTTTTTTTTTTAAGGCTATTCTCCCTCTAAACATGAAAAAGTTTACCACTTCCTTAGGTCCAAGCCTTAGGAATTCACTACGGCTTTATTTTGTGCAAGCATGCCTACATCCCCCTCATCAAACTCTGAGGGCCTCTCTTTTTAAACGATCCTTTTTAGAACTTGCTACAGATTTCCTTGCAGGGAAAGCCTCTGGTGGCATCTAAAGATTAGCATTAATTATGGCATGCGCTTTCAAGGAATTTCATCTGATCCACCAATTATACTAATTTAAAGGTGTATACAGTTAATTGTTACTCTCTGAAATACTCTGTATTTCATTTTCCCTCCGATCTCACTAGTTGCATTTCCCATCCAAAGTTGTATATGTATATATACTTGGTATAACATTTCAGGCATGTGAGGAATTCTGATACACAAAGCTTGTGCCACAATAAATCATTTAGTCTTCCAGATATCTGTAAGATAGACTCTCTAAAAGAAGAGCACTGATGGGTGTCAGGAGATTTTCTGCAGGACATGAAACCATTGGAAGAACTCAGTGAGAAGGTGAAGCTCAAACACATTTACCAAACAGCAGGTCCCCTTCTTTATTTTAAGTGCATCTTAGTAAATATCTGAATTTATGGTGTAGAACTTGCATCTCCAGAAACATCCAAAGCTTTGGGGGCTGTACCTCATGTTACTTGTTAGTTGAGGTTGCACATCACAAAAGCCACCAATTGTTCTAACCATGCCTTATTGGGGAAAAAATCACACTAGCTACTGGTAGGTACATACAATATGCCCATCTTTCATCTGTGGTTTGTAAACAAAACTAAACAAATATTTATGTACAATGTATGAACCGAACAATTTTGCCCTTAGTATGGATCACTGTTCTTGTCTATAAAATGGGATCTATCTTTGAGTCAAATAGTATTCTCTCATCTTGTATAAAGAAGTATTAACCCATAGATTGAGCAATGGATGAACATTAGTTAGCATTAGAATGGCTTTCTTCACATAGTTTACTTCTATAGAACTGGAAACATTCCCAGCAATTTTAAGTGTTAAGTAGTTGGGAGCAACTAACTATTCTGCCACAGCTTTGTTAGAATAATATGATTTTATGCAACATCCTTTGAAATGCAGGCAATGATTCATGGCTTCATTGTAATTTACTATATTTGAGATGTAAAGATACATTAATGCCACTGACAGGTTAAAAAAAAACTGAGCAATTAATACAGTAGATAAATAACTGCTTTCCAAATGTTTCAAATGCTAATTCCCATCAGCTCATCTATCCAGCATGGCTAACAACAAAGGTTCTTGGGAATTGTGGTTGATATTTTCCGGAGGCATTGGATTGCCTATTTCATTGTTTCTCCAAGCTAGGCAATTTCAGTTGTGTGGAACAGCATGGCTGTTGCTGAGATCAGGTAGCTGAAGTCTACATACTTGGGAGTTACTAAGCTTCAAAGGCACTGGTCTCAACTTCTTGTGTTGAAACAAGCTTGTTGGCAAATTCTGCCAATGCTTGTTAAACAGAATCAGCCTGTCTCTGAAATTTTCAGTGAAATTTTCTTGCAGATATACAGCCTGGGACTCATCACACACGTCTACTGGATAAGCTCATTTTGATGCATATAATAGTGAAATAGTTACCTGTGTCAATAAACTTGATCCTTTCCAGAAGCTTCATTTTCATTACAATCTCTCAATATAATATCCAGTTCATCTTGGTTTTTGGCATAAAAGTATAAAATATTACTGAAAGGTTCTGTTTGAATGACACTGAACCACAAACTAGTCAATCATATTTTAGTTTATTCACAGTCTGGATCAACTCTATCCACTTCCCATCCTCTAAAAATGACTACTTTCCAGCACTTGGTCATTAAAGTAGGCTTAGATGGTACAATATCAATGGAAAATGTTTTAAAACCTTGTTAGTCATGTGCATATTGAGCATGTAAAGCAGTGAAACTCCAGTGAACTACATCAGAAGTTGCACACCCAAAATGGAGTGAATTTACTTGCTCAACCCAGCAACTCCCAACATGCAGATCCCAACACACATGCACAGAGTTACTTTAATTCTTGGGCCCAAAGTGGTTTATGTTTTTTACACAGAGCATTGATTTCTCCAGATATAAAATGTAATATTTGAGTTGGGAAAAAAAAGGGTGGCAGAGAATTAGTATAATGACTCTATAAAAAAGAGTTTTTAATTATGGAGATGTGTTTAAATTGCACACACAATCCACACAGTATTCAATGCTATCTGTATAATCATCTTTAAAACATTGTTTTTCTAAATTAAACTTGAAAAGACTATGCTGGCTGAAAATACATTTCTGGAAAATGTCTTTTATCAGCTATAATCAGGTTTTCAAACTTTGCTACTGATAAATGATTTTCAATACTTACAGTGTCTTTTAGAGAGCTCTGTTGTGCCTCTAAGACAGTCATTCCCAACCTGGCACCTTCTTGAAATGTTGGGAATTCATTTCCCATGCTTTTCAGGAATTCTGGAAGATGAAGAGCCAACATCTCTAGAAAGCACTGGAATAGGAAGGCTATTCTAGAAGGATAATGATCCTAGCTCAGGAGTTTTTAAGATCTTGTTAGAGCACTTCATACATGCTGACTCCATTAGAAACTCAAATGTTGTAATTTCTGAAGTACAGATCACATTCTGGGTGGGGCCAGAGGTGGAAAGATTTAGCAGCTGGAATTAATGTTTCCTTGCCTGGAGTCTACAGACTTCATAGATCAGCTCCTCCTCCTTTGGACACTACTGTACTTTTGTAAGTGGTCATCATCAAGGAGACTGGCTTCACACTTATATAATGATATCACATAATGTTTGCTCCTATTCCTAGTCATTGGGACAGATGATTGGAGAGAGTCCCATTCAGTCCTGTCATTTCATTTATGAAACGCCTTCAGTGAGGTTTTGCTTGATGTCAACTTGGAAGTCAGTTGGAATCCCGCAAAGATCTTTTCATCCATTCAGTTGTTTCAGAATAGAATTCTGAGTGTAGAATCTTACAGCATTGTTCAACCTGTGGATTTTGTTGTCTTATAATCCTGTGGGAATTATATGGTATTAATTTAGTACATGTCAAATTGGGAAATTTTCAATAGAAGAGACTCCTCCAGATGCTACTTCTAACAATTACCCATGCCAAATGAATCTGTAAGGTACTTCACTGAAGCATATCAAAGCCACTTTACATATGCTGGGACCTCTAGCCTGGGGAATTTGGGGGACTGTAGCCTAAAGCCATCAAGCGATCAGCAGCTAGAAAAGGCAAAGAACAACCACAGCCTCTATCTGAGCACTTTTCTCCATCAATTCTGCTGGGCAGTCATCCAGTGCTCTGCCACTGAATATGGTGTACCAATATACTATATTTGCAATTATAATGCTGTTATTTTTTTATATAGATGCCATTTTAGTCTATTATAGATTAGTTTATTATAGCTCTTATATTAAGAGCCTTGGTGGCACATTGGTTAGAATGCAGTATTTCAGGATGACTCTGCTCACTGTTAGTGATTCAATCCTGATGGGACTCAAGGCTTCCATCCTTCCAAGGTTGGTAAAATGAGGACCCAGATTGTTGGGGGCAATGTGTTGACTCTTTAAACTGTTTAGAGAGGGCTGTAAAGCACTATGAAGCAGTATATAAGTCTAAGTGCTATTGCTATAAATTAATGTTGGATTGATGGCACATATAGTAAAGGCAGAAAATGCATCCATTTCTTTCCTCTCCATCCTCTGTAGGATCCACCTTATTGGTGTGAGCAGTACTTTCATTCTGTCAGATGATCCATCCGAAAGACAGATTGAAGAAGTTCTAAAGCAGTGGTTCTCAACCTTTTTAATGCCGCGACCCCCCCAACCGGTCGTAAGTCGAGGACTACTCAACTGGTGCAGCACCATTTGCAGAATGGGACTTTTGGCGGGCTCAGCAGGGCAGAGACAGCCTGGACAATTCCTATTGGCTTTTGAAAGCCAATAGAATTAGACTCTATTCAAGAGAGTCTATTCTATTGGCTTTCAAAAGCCAATAGAATAAAAGGGAGTAGCACAGCTAAGGAAAAGGGGAAAAAAATGGCGGACTGCGTTGTTTGGCGACCCCTGTGAAATGGTCGTTTGACCCCAAATGGGGTCCCGACCCACAGGTTGAGAACCACTGTTCTAAAGGATACTAATCTCTATATGCTTTTCTATGCAAGAAGAGCAGAAGGACATGTCTACAGATCCTTAGCTATTTTCCATACCATGTTGATCTATATTGAACCGTAAACATCTAAGATCATTCTGATATTGTAGGATATAAGTCTGGTAGTGGTAATAGCAGTAGTAGTAGTATTCAGAGCTGTTCACTTTTGTGCTATGTGCTGTTTGAATGAAATTCTGTCAATGCAGCAGTAATGTTTTCCATAAATTGAAGACGTGGCCACAGTAAAATGAACATTGTTAATGCAGGGCAGTGGCTATACTTTGAAGTAGTTTAACACCAAATAAGTGGCCAATTTTAAGTTGCAACACCTCAGTACCAAGTGTCCTTATTGAGTAACTTGGAAAATCAGTATTGGCTACCTTAAAAGTTTCATACAGTATACATTTAACAACCTAATTGGATGCATATCTGCTTAGAAGTCAAGTAAATTTATATCTAGTGCTCTGCTGTATGCTACCCAGACTCGCTTTTAGTGAGATGAGCAGCTATATAAATTTTATAAATAAATAAGGCCAATTAGTATTATGTAATGGGGCCCAGATTGCATAATGATCCATTTTCTACTTTAAATTT